CAGCATTACTTCGAGGAGGGTATCTTTTATGTTAGCATTTCAAGCCACGCTCTTATGATTTTCGATCTGCGTCCAGACCACCACTTTTTCACGGCATTTTCTTAATGTTTGCACTATTTATTATTCCAATTTCTAGTTCTCCTTTCTAAGTCTAATTTCTTCCTTTTGAGACACGAATCACATATAAATCAATCGTTCGTCAACTCTCTGAGTTCGCTTTCATCTTTTCCACTATATTTTCGGAATTTACAGGTCTAATCTGCCTTATTATCTCTTATGAGCCACCTATTACAGTCAAATATTTATTAATATGATTACAGTGAATATAATAGGAGTATTTAAAAGAAATCCATTATTTTTGCATGAAATTTAAAGCTTTTTTAGCATAGTTAAAATGAACCGATTTAGGTTAAATATGCGCCATTTTTTCGATAACTCGATTTTACAAACTTGTCTTGAAGTAAATTTTTCATTAGAAAAGTTGCCATTAACAGAATCACTTGATGAAAGGTCTGGATTATAAGATGGATGCATAAGAACTTTCCAACCAAGCTCCCTGGTTAAACACAATTCCTATCGTATTACCCAAAGCTAGCCGTTTTTGAGCGATGGCTTTTTTCCAATTATACATAACTGAAGCTATCTATTGGGAAAATAATGAAAAGTCTATTTTTCTGATCCGATTGATTTAATTGGTAATTCGACTTTGTTAAAGGAACAAATTTTAAGTTTCATATAAACCACATATTCATATGTATATATAAACTATCAATCATATATTTAAGTGAAAAAATTATTCAAGAAGAACGTAAGTAATATTGCATACGAATTACCCTACTGAGTTGTATTCATACCAATTAAGTCAACGTCTTCACTTCACCATTTCACGCACGCACTCAATCTTTGTAATCGTTAAAACAATCTAACTACTGCTTTTTACCATAAAAATGCATAAATTTGTTCACAAGCGCAATATTAGCAATATTACACAACACTGTTCAGGAGGTTTGTTGTTCTAACCCCTATTGTTGCAACCAATTATTCCGCTTTGGACGAACTCTTAGAAATAAGCACTTGAAAATGTATGAATTTTCGTTGAAAAAGCAATAGTTAATCTACTTCAAAAAATGATTACAAAAAACCAATGATTTAGAGGGAAAAATTTCTGTATCATGAAATATTTGTTAGATAATAATATCGAAAGACGGAAAATATGCAAAGGATATTTGATAATTATTTCAAAAATATTATTTAATTGAATATTTTTCAAGAAGTAATAGCTTTAAATCACTACAAGAACTTTGAATCACTACTTCTTTCAAATCCATATAAAATATTATATTAAAAGTAATTAGTCCATTTATTATAGAGGAAAATTAAAACTCAGAGATTTTTTTTCATCTCTCAATAACTGAGAGTTTTTACACTACACAGACGTAAGAAGTAAAAAAAAAGAAAGTGATTCTCTGGCTATACACAATCGTCGTTCGGCCCCTTTTTAACCTACGGCTGCCTGGTGTGGTGGCCCTGGCTAAATAAACAATACATTGTTTAAAGGCTAACCAAAGATTGCTTGTGTGGGCGCAACGGACGCATTGAGGACGTCCTTCACTTGTTACCAATTGACGTCTATATCAAACAAGTAGCTACTCTCAGTGCACAAAGTCTTAAGGATTTAAACTCTTGGTGCTCGATTGCGTTCGGGCATGGTAACATTCCATGAATCTATCCGATGGGCAGAACCGTTTACAACGCTAGTAAAGCTGGTGATCAATACCGATAGAAAAAAGATAGAAAAAGGCAAATATGGATCCGGAGTATTTTCGAACAATCTAAGGTTCAGTAAATCCGACTATCTCTGCAATTCCACCTCAATATTTTAGGTAGAAATCTTTGCTATCCTTAGAGTATGTGCTCTTACTTTAAACGTGGACTTTCACAGAAATCTATGTTTCTACTGACAGTCAAACAGCTATTAAAGCTTTACCAGGGATCTGTATTACATTTAGATTAGTACAAGAATGTAGAGAGTTTATCAACACACTAAGTTAGAAATTCAAGGTAACTCTTGTTTGGGTTCCCGCGCATTTTAACAATTGTAGTTAATTCTAAAACGGACTGGTTCTAATTTGATCTTCTTGTACCCATTATTACAAAGAGTTGTAGATTCGAAATGGCTTTCTTAGTTAATTGTGAAGGATTCGTTCCTCCTTCCACTTCTACTAAGTTAGTTACTTACTAAGTGCTTATTATTGGGTACTTAAAATTCAATTGTAAAACTATTTATGTCAAATCGCTCGTTAAGTGTGAATTTAAAAATTAGCCCTAACAATTGTTGTATAATTTAGGTTGTATGGATATTAATATTAATATTTTTCCTCATTTTTAGAGTTTTGACTAAACAATTATTAAAACCAAAAAATGAATGGCGCCAACGTTATTATAATATATTTTATACACTATAAAGTAAAATACTTTTTAATTTCATTATGAAAATCCTTCACAGCTTAGATGTTTTATATAGACCGGTACCAAATTTATGGAAAACCTGATAAATATCAATAACCATTCTTAAAACATACGTCCAAAATTTAAGTCATATATCAGTACAGTACAGTATATATCACAACAAAAGATGTTGTGTGTATAGTAGTATAAATAATATAAAGCTGCCACCATATGTTAACTTCATATTTTTATTTAAATTCATATATTTTTTACGTCCATTGGATTTTATTTTATTCTGATAAGTATAATAAAAATTTATTATCATGTCCTCCGTGTTGAGTTCGTCATAAAAATGTTACCTTTGATGTTCACATTTTAAATATTTACATATTTTTATTATTTTGTTGTTCTACTCTTTCATATATTCAAGGATATGAAGGCAAATACTTATATGTTTCCAAATATATATACAAATACACAATATAAATATGTATACAGAAAAGTTCCTGTATGCTTTACAGTTTTATGGCAACTGCCGCATTTATAATTAAATAAGTTTATATCAGCAGTAGTAAAAGCATTTGGCTTTGTTATTGACGATTTTGGTCAGGTTTGGGTTCTTATTCCAAAAAATAAAACATTTAAAAGTTAATAACAGAAATATAAAAAAATAAGTCGTAGCTTAAATTTATACAGATTTGACTACGTCGAAATAATTGGTTTGGTATCCGATTAAATACTTAGTATCACCTTTCTTTAATTTTAGTTCTATTACAGTTTGCGATGATTTATAGCATAATGAATAACACCGTTTTCTTGCAATGTTGCTGGAGATGATCCAGTTTTTATTATTTTTGGCTCGAATATTGATTAACATTAATCCATTCGAACACGGTTTAAATATTAATTCTTTTTTTTTCAACTCTCTTTATAAGTCGACATAACATAAAATTAACTTAAAGTCAACTCTGACTTAAAGCAGAAAAAAATTAAAAATTTCGAATATTTTGCTTTCATCACTGCTGGTAATGTGTGCCAAAACCAATAGCACAAATGTTACAACCTGATAAAAACGATCCGGTCAAAATACTGACCAGCGTTACACAATTCTTTGGATTGAACTATAGCCAATTTGATATGCAATAATTGGTATTTCTTGATCTACTCATATAAATAATTCGTATATAATATAACCAGTCTTCCACTTTATTAACACGTAATAGATTAGTTGGCAAATCGGATTACTTATTTCCTCGCTTATACTTTGATAATATCATTGCCACCAGAAATCCTTCAAAAGGGAAATAAGAAGCAGGGCTAATTACAACGCAAAAGAAAATAGCGATCTATAAATACTGGCCTTAGATAAATAAAGGCATCGGAACCGGAATCTACTCCACGAACTTAGGAATTAATAAATGCTACCACCTCTCCGATTTACCTCAATATTTCTGGCAAAAGTCTTCGCTATCCTGAGGATTGATTCTTTTGCTGCGAGTACGGAATTTCACAAAAAGGAAGGCTATATTCGTACTGATAGTGAAGCACCTTTGTTATTTTACGTAGCATTCTATACCTTAATACTACGGTGTTCAAAACACAATGTATCAGGACAATGCGCCGATAAACACCCCATTGGAATAGCCTTCCTTATTCTGCCGGTACCAATGAAGAAATTCATGTAAGTTATATCTTCCATCTTGGTAAGATACGAGGCCCATCTTAAACCTCTGCTACAATTTGGCTGTAGCACCCGGTGGTGAATACGCAACTTCATGCCGAATGTACCATAATATTTTCATTCTTCCCGCGTAAGTTTGGGTATTAACCGACAGACACTCCCTTCCCCTGCTAGTCTCAGCCGTAGGTAAATTTCTGACCATTTTCTGCGACAGACAAAGAGGGAGTGGGTTAATACTTCTTCAGCAGCTTGGTCAAGAGCTACTTGGCCATATTATATAAAATCTAGAATTTCTAACGTGATACGCAAAAACGAATTAGAGGTGTCTTGGTTTATATCTGTTCTAACAAGGCACTGGACTATAGGTATCCCATATAGAACATATTTACAGGAATACGGTTATGTGTTTGTTTGGAACCAAGCTTAAGCAATTGGGTGTTCAATTCTTCAACACACTCTGTAATAGTTCTAGCACTAGCGTTAGCCAGGTTCTGACATTATCAATGATTTCAAGTTCTAACATGGCCATTCTCCTACCCACCCTTGCGAAAAATTGTGGAATCTAAACGGCTTTTTACACCAAATCATTTATTTTCGTCTATTCTGTAATGGTAAGTAACCAAATGTATCACCATCTATAGCTATTAGCCAATCTATATATTGAACCTTTGCACTGATAGATATTTTTAGAAACTTATTTTATAGTTAAATATATTCTAATGACAAGGAACTTTTGCCACTTTTCTATTTAATTTAATTGCTAGAATTCTGTAGCATGAGTGTAATATAACATATTAGCCTTAATTTAATACAAAACCTATTAGCCTTAAATTATTTTTACATTATTATTATGTATAAAATAATTAATTCATTGACAATTTAATAATTTTAAATTTTATTTATATACGTACATATACATATGTAATTACAATTGATGTGTAGTAGATTTTATGTGCGAAAAGGTCTGGTAATGAGGTTATAAATTGGTTGTAAAGTATAAGCGATTAGTTCATAAATGAAAGAAATAATTGTTGAAGTTTGCTCGGCAGAATTAATTTCACTTGTAGCAACACTATTTTCCCAATCAAATTCTTCATTGATACGTTCATCGTTGTTTAAATTCCTTGCTCCAAGTAAATTAATTATATCTTCAAACATGATATTTTCAAAGTTCTAGCACGAAAAAGTTATTCATATTTAGCAGTTTCATAAAAATAATAAATATTACATATATATATGTTCTTACCATAACATAGTGATCTAGATCGACGTCGTTGCATATGGGATTATTACTTATATTAATCACATTAATGAACTCCAGGGTTTGTAATTCGTTATCGCATGGCATAATATTTATATTATTATATGAAAGATTTACATATCTTAACCCATACATGTAACTTAAGCAAATTGGTATGAATTGTAATAAATTTGACTTTAAATTTAGATGTTTAAGATTTTCCAGAGTACCCATTGTGTCTGGAATTCTTCTCAACTGATTTGATTCAAATGTTGCCCAACGTAAGCTATGAAGAATGCCAAAAGAATCTGGTAATTGTCTTATCTTATTGCCTCGTGCTCCAAATGTTCGTAAACTAATGCAATTACCAATTTCTTCAGGAATATTAGCAAGACCCGTATAATTACACCATAATGCTTCCAATGATAGAAGATTTCCGATTTGTGCTGGTAAACTTACAATCCTGTTATAACTTACATTTAAAAAGCGTAACCTATCCAGTTTGCATAATTCAGTGGGAAATGCATTAAGTTCATTATGGTCTAATGCCAAAATTTGTAAATCGCAAAAGATTTCAAGTTTAGGTACCTAAGATATAATTAAAATCTATATAATCCAATTTTGCAGAGCATATTTCATTAATATAGACAAATTTTGATTCAAGTTCAAAAAAAAATTTTAACTTAAATATTTTTATAAGCAATCAATCTTTAAGATACTACCTCATACTGATTGATGCCATAGACAAATAATAAATATCTATTTGTGCTTACATACAGTCAAATCTGATGAGACCAGTTCTATAAAAATTCTTACTGCAGCCACAGCTATGTCTCAATTTAAATTGTGTGACATATCGTTGTGACTTGAAATTTTATATAATATCACTTTATGTAGAGTAGATCGGTTGAAAAAACAAAAGGAATAAGGACTGAATATAAAATTCTGTTTAAAATACGGTAGCAAGGCCCAAGAAATTCACAAAATGTGTAAAAAATGAAAGGAAACTTATGTATATCACTTCACGAAAATCGTAAGAATCTTGATAAAAAACTGTCAAAAACGATGAAGACAAAAAAAAATTTTCGCGAGATTTTTGTTTTTGTTGTGTGTTTCCAAGATGAAAGTGGGATACAGTAAAATATAATCTATCAAATTTTGATAGATAATCGAAAAGACCGAAGGTTTCAACATTTCAAAGACATGTTTAACATGCCCCAAAGCATGTCAGCCATTATGGCTTGTGATTAGACGTAACTTTTTTAATAAGAATCATAAATAAAACATCCAAGTGAGACGTAGAAGTCACCAGCAGACACCAAAGAGAGTAAATTATGCAGTCATTAGAGGTAAATCAAGTTAAAGTACACCATTTTTTTTCGATTCAATGGAAATTTAGGCAGTAAATTCATTCCAGAAGAATATCATCTCAATATATTATTTTTGAGTTCTACAACAAATTTAGGTCAGAATTCGATGAACTCCACTGGAACATCAACTGCAAACGATAATGATACGTGTATACTTGACATCATTATTACGACAGTGACGAGACGTAACCCATCAGGTACCCTATACACCCTATACAAATTGATAATGAAAGAAAATATTTTTCATATCATCACATTTAGATATAAGGCTTCAACCGATATACTCTGGCAACTCTGACTAAGGACATGTTTCGAAAAAATTTTGAACGCTTCCAGCTCTGTGTTGACTCAAGAAAGTAATTTTGAATAAATGAAAAAATTAATGTAGTAAGCGCAGTGTATTTATTATTATTTATTTTTTTTAACTAGTCTTATTGGATCTAACGTAAGCACCACAGTAGGTTTCTATTAAAAGATTCTTGTCTAAGACTTGAAAACACTATTTATCAATTTAACATTATTATCAATATTAATATTATTAAAACAAATCTTAGTCTGCTTTTAAACCAATATTTACCCTTTGTAAATGATTTTTGTCCAAATAAAGTTTCCAGAGAAATGTGCACTTTTCAATGCAATTTGGTATTTCATTTAATGCAAAATTTGATAAATATAAATTCTTTTGCCTAGTTTTAACTACTTTATGAATTTTTGCTCTAGCTCGTTTAATATCATTTGCACTAGCCATTATATTAAAATTTTGAAATTCGTTCCTTATTTTATAGTAAATATATAATAAATATTAATTCAGTTAATCTTTCATTGTATTTTAATGAATATAATTAATAAATTTTTATTGTTAATACATAAGTTTCAAAGATATGCTGATGCATATTTATTTATATGTAACAAATTTTAACTGATGTTAGGATAAATATTGGATCACTAAGATTGGATCACAATTATTTGTAAACTTAATATTTAAAGAACAGTTAAGTCTCATTCAAATAACTATATCACTTTTGAAAATAGTTTATTTACACTGGTCGTTAGTCCACAACTTGGTTAGTTAGTTAGTTAGTTGAAGTGGAAGGAGGAGAAACAAAAAAGGCCAAACTAGAACCAGCCAGAAGTAGTTATATTATAGACACAACAGGTGTTCTGGTATCCTTTACTCGAGAGTTGGTAGATATGCGTTGCAGGAGACACCACAGGAAAGGCCAAGTCTATCTCCATGCCGTACTATGGTCCAGAGCCCTGTAAAGACAGATATCAAACTAGATTCCTTAAATTTGATTCTATGTGTCAAGTCAAAGGTTTTGCACTTGGAATAGATAGGCTATGTACCGCTTGATCTTTCTGCTGAGGTACTATGGGTCCACTTACTATTAGCCTGTCTTAAAAAGCTATTATAAATCAACCACCGACTGCAGCTGACAGGAGCACGAATTAAAATAGGGATATTCGTAGAAGAGGCGACCAGTCCAGAAGGGCATAAACCAAAAATATATATATATTCCAATAAAATCTATTTCTTAATCAGCCCTACATTTGTAAAAATAAAATGTTTTTTTCCTTACCTACCACTTCTTCACAACCTAAACCAAATATTACCATTTAACGATTCTTTTAGCTAAAACACTTTTAATTATTATCGCTCACATTTTGTAGGACATACGTCCATTGAAACGGAGGACAAGATGACTACAAAGATCTTAAAACACTTTTGTAGCGACCCTGTCATCCACAACAAACAGACTTTATGACTAAATCTACCGCAATTCACTTCACGCAATAAAAGAAACACAGGTGTTTTAACGGTATGAAATTTTAAAGTGTGTAAGAATTATAAATGTTATTCAAATAGTGAAATTGATACAGGAATTTGATAGACTAGGAGAAAGCTGTCCAGACCAGATACGAAAGCGGGCCAATACAAATCACTTGGAGACCCGCAGAAATAAATAAATACGTTTATAATTTTTCTGAAGAAAAATAGAAATATGACGATAATGTTAAATTTAGTTTCTTCATTAATTAATTCATTAATTCTTCATTAATTTGTCGCTAACAATTCTGTCAATATCAGCATTATTAATATTAGTTGTTGTTATACGAAAAATATTTTATTTTTAATATAATCACTTACGGCACTGGATACATATTTTCTGAACCAGTTGTATAAAGATATATATACTTAAGTCTGTCAATTAAGTAAATTAACTTGAAGTGTAATAAAGTACTTAAAAGGTTTTAAGTAGCTTATTTAAAATTCCATAAAAATAAAATGATGTTACTAAAATATAGCAAAGAAAAATTTGGCTAATTGTGGTAATAGCCACGGGCCGTATGAGACCACTGGGCCGTGTTTCAGACAACCTTGTTTTAGATTATAATATTAGAAACCTAATTATTGTTTGTTTTATTTGAATCGGAATCGGACGGACTGACGGATTTGATATATTGAAACGAAAATAAAATAAAAACATTTTTCAAAAAATTGTGTACGCAAACTTTTAAATAAAAAATTTTGTTTGAGCACTAAAAATAAAAATTAATTAATACATAATTTATTTATATAATTAATATTAATTAATTTATTCATTTAATATATAATTTAATAATTTATATAATTTTTATAATTAGAAGAAAACAGTAATTACTATTAAAAAAATCAATAATAATAAATAAACTATAAGCAATTTATTTGCATATACATAGTTATTTACCTCCCCACTCATCGCATTAATTCAGTTTGCTCCTATTGCTGCAGCACAAAAAAAATTGATGAAAAATGGTGTGGTGATAAAAGCAACTTCACGTGAAATACTTAACGATCAAGAGTTTTATTCAACTTAACTTAGTAAATTATTGTTGTTTCTTTGGCAATTTCACCACGTCTTGTCAAAGAACTACAGCATTTACTAAAGCGGGGTGCAGACTATCATACTGGTGTGTCATACGAGTTGCGCTCTCTCTTGCTCAAATTTCTTCTAGCGACCGAATTTGAACAGGTATGACACACAAGAGTAAGCAAAATTTTTGAAGAGTGCTTTTGCGGGTAATGTTGTGAAAATTTGTGTGTTTAAAATAAAATTTTAAAATTGAAAAAATTGATAGTTAACGTATAGGTTGTGCTTTGCTTATAATTGATTATAATTTTGTATATTTTATATATGCCGCGTTTTTTTTTTGCGATCTTTATATTCACAGCTTTGTACATCCCACAAACAGCGATTACTTTTGTTAACATTCGATGAAAGCATCTAAAAAGGCTTTATCTGCATCCATATTCATATTTTTTTTAGGTTTATTGGTCATTAAGCACAGTAGTTAAAATGAAAAGATCAGTAAAGGACCGTAGTTAATTTCATTCACTACCTGTAAAGTTTCTTAAGAAATTTTTCATAAATAGATCATACAAATAATGTATATATATATATACATAAGAATGTATATATCTTCATTGTTTTTCAAGAAATTTGATCATTTCCATATTTTTGTTAGTTAAAGGTTATTAACATTTAAAATTCTTTTATTTTAATAACAAGTTTTAACAAAGAAAAGCATATTTAGAATACAAAGTATTATATCTTAAATTTGGGTTATTAATTAATTGTTATTACGACCAATTTTCAATATGTTTTTTTATTACTGGGCTTAGATCATAAATTTAACGATGTTTATATTTAGATATTTTTTTAAAAAAAATTTTACTTATAATCATCGTTTATAAATTAAAGTAAAATAAAATAAAATATTTAATAAACTAAATAAAATATTTAATATATTACATAAAATATTTAATTGTATTTTAATTTTTTATAAGAATTTTATGTAAAAATTTATTTTTTTTTTAACTAAGATACAATTAAATATTTAACACAAATTTATAAGTGTAATTTTAATAATAATAAATATAATAATAATAAATACATTAATAATAAAATAATAAAAAACATATTAAATTTATATTATAATTCTACATATTCCACCTGCTTATAATAAATTTGCAAGGCAAAAATGCTCTTGTATGACGTATGAATCGTTAGGGGTGACAGACTATCATACACAACGCGTATGCGAGAGCTGTTCACCAAAATTTTGGTGAGCACGCCAACACGTTGGTAAAGGTGGCAGACTATCATACCTGTGTGTCATACGACGTTTTTCTCTCTCGTATGACATACCAGTATGATAGTCTGCACCCCACTTAAAAGTATTTTTCGCTCAATTGGTTAATTTAGTAGTAAAACATTACAGCATTCGCGGTGAATTAAATCCAATTTTGAATGGTGTAAGTATCGTTGCAGATGCGGAAAGAATTCTTTGTAAATTGTATGGTTAATATTTCATTTAGTTTTGTAAAAACTAATTAATTATAATTTCCTAAAAATTATTATTTTGTTTGTGAATATGATATGTGAATATAACGAAAATAAGTTTTATTATAATAAAAAGTTTATTACTCTTATATTCTGCCTGACCAACGGTAAGTTTCTTTGTTGTTTTTTTTTATGCATGAAACTGTAAATCATTTAAAAAATACGTCACATCTACTACGAAATTTGCTATTTAAATAATAAACATTAAAATTTTTTAATAAAATTTTAATACGAGTACAAAATTTATATAAATTCTTTCTTGAATATTCTATAGAAAAATTTTATATTAAGAAATATTAAAATATTAATATTAAATATATGATGGTTATGCTATTGCTGATATTAAGTATTACTTGTATTTTAAACGCTATAAAAAAGTTAAAAATAATATCTATTTAACAATTTTTTTATATACATATGTATATATGTATATAATTTATACACATGTATGTACACATATATATTCATAATTTTCTGAATACTTGTTATAAATCATATTATTTAATTACTTTATCGGGTATTTAAGACTAACATATAAGTTCAAAAATGTGGAATATTGTCTTAGATATTTTCGAAATTTTCATAGTATCCGTTAGAATCTCAAAAAAAATCTATTGAATTTTGACAAAACGGATAATTGAACTATGTTTTTCCAAAAGTTAGTGAATCTTCAAAATTGCAGCGACGAAATAATGCACTTGCGTTTCAGCACTTGCATTGTATATCACTCCTTCATACACAAAAAAAAATTTTTTTGACTTGAATTCACTATCAACTATATTCACTATTCAATGCACTATTTTACGTGTTAACTTTGAAAAAAGGAAATAAAATAATAATAATATATATAATAATAAAATATAATAATGGAACTTAAGTATCTAGTCCGGTGAAAAACTATATATTTTAGTTCTCGTTTAAATACAATAGTTAAATTAGACACAGTAAGTTTTCATTTGTTCCCCCCTAAAACTGTCTGCAATGTTATATTTAATAATGAAAAGTGGGCCCATGAGATTATAAGCCCTGATGAACTATCCACCAAGGTACCGTTATAGATATTTTGAGACCGTCTGGTATTACGACCCCCCTTGAAGTGATGGACCAATCACTATGGTAAATGTTGAGACTGTCTTGTGTTGCAACACAATTTAAGATAATTATTTCTCTTAATATAAGAACTTTTTAAATTCTTAAATTATAGAAAAATAGATAATGAGCAAAAGTCCGTTATAATTTTGTTGGTAAAAGAGATTTTCTTGATTGTTAGCTGTTATTTCTGTGTGGAAGAGAAGATACTGCATGACTCCCTTTGCCCTATGTTCTAGGTGGTAGTATGATTATTTCGTAAATGAAATTAATTACTTTTAAAAAATTTCTATTAGTATTGCTTTTTCTCCATCATATTTA